AAAGCTTCGCTAGCTTTTCTGATATGCATAATATCTACCAAGACCAGTTGATGCTGTAGCCCTAGCAACCTTTAATGAAAATTTGAAGAATCAGGAGCTTTTCTTTGAAGTGATCTGTACCTGTCGACGACTTTTTCACAATATTTTGTTAGCCAGGGAAGGCCACCGGCACCACGGAATATCGGGAGCCACCGACGGAACATACAGATTAGCTGCCAACAACTGGACTCTTATCGATTTCGGCTGCTATGGCGCGATATTCAACTCGTCTGAAGAATTTTCGACTTGATTTTACCCTTTCGCCTACCTATTTGTGAGATCAGAAACTGCCGCTGCGTACAAACACCTTCTCCGCGCAGTCAAATATATGAGTCAAAAGTTTATTTAGCTACACGCTGAAGCTGCAATTTGGATCGATAGAACACGCGGATAGTATTGCCAACACCTACAAACCCATTGACCGGATGTCGTACTTTGAATTGCAGGCCTCACCTGGAAAGGAATCTTCAACGACAAAATTTACTTACAAAAGGGCAAAGATACGAGGGAATCTTGAAACCACAAGTACATTATCCACACAAAGCTCGAAACGCAGCACAGTTGAGGGCAATGGCGAGGTGTGTTTTGGAAAACTGGGAAGATTTAGGTGAGCCTGCCGCTGCTTCATGATTCCGAGAGCAATACCTGTCTCTTAAGTAGAAAGTCTGGATTTATTCTGCTATCAAGTTCGCTGGAGTTACTTCAAATTAGAACGCAATTGGATCGCACAACCGCGACATTAAGGGTCGTTCTTAACCACGCCATGGCATGCCATGGCACGAAATGCTTTGAACCGATTGGATGTGCGCTTGCTAGGGCTAGAGTTTAAAGTAAATAAAATGACAGGAAGTGCCACGGATGGCATTTGCAAGTGCCATGGCAAAGGCCAATCGCCATGTGCCATGCTACTTTTATCTTCAATAATGTAAGTTCTAAGAATAGTTTTCTTGATGGCACAATGACAGGGCAGTTCTATTCGTAACCACGCCATGCCATGGCTCAATTTCTAGTGCCATGACATGGCACGCATGGCAGTGCTTAAGAGCCACCCTAAGAGAGTTGTAGACTCGGATCTGTACGCGTCAACAAAAATTGTGATGAACACTAGCTTGCCTCACATCGTATCTTACTTTAAAACACCTCGCGACCGAGCTTTGCTTATTAAAGTTCATGATCTCATTCGACCGTACCTGTGGCTATCGAATGTGCTCGAAAACTAATATCGTAGTCCGCACAGGCAGCTTTTGGGTGGTCAAGACACGTAATACGAAAGATTCGAGCTTGTTATTTAACGCCCGCCACGTAATGCTAGGTGGAACGTCGTCGAATCCACGAGGTGAGAGCTAAATTTATCTCCTGTCACGAAAAGGTACACTTCAGGCTACCAACAATGTGCAATGCATTGAAACACAATATCCCTCACTTCATCTGGTGCAAAAGCTGAGTGCGGAGCCATTTAAAGATAGTTGGAGCTCTCGTGTCTGGCCAGAAAATGAGGTTTGTATTCCTATTTTTTAAATATTACCTTACAAATTTTATTTAATATTGCTAGGACGACGCTGTCATGTACTTCCTCCGTCCGAAAATATAAGACCAGCGCCACAAATAACATTGTCCGAAAATATAGGACTAAGTTCGGTTCGTATCAACCGAACTTAGCATATTTATTGCTTTCTGATAGATTATGTCACTACAAGCTAGAGACCGCGGAAGCAGACCACGGCTATCCGTCAACGCGGCTTTCGAAAGATGGGGGATGGCGTACTTGTTGCCTCCGTCAACGTCCATAGAAGCCATCAGCACAGACTTTCGTGAAACGATAACGCTATCTAGAGCGCTGTAATGAAGCTGCTTGAAGGCTTTGTCGACATTGTTGACCAGGTCTTCGATAGTTTTAGCCTTCTTCTTGTGCTGGAGCGACTGTAGGGAGCTAAAAAAAACCGAGGTCGAGAGTATTAAAATCCGGTGAATTAGCAGGTTGTGGCTGAAGGCGCATCCTCCACCCGCCCTCCGCGCATGCGCGAGCACAGCTAGGTAGAACCACTTTTCATCCAGGTGCACATACTCCATCATATTGTCGAACTGTAGCCCATGTCTCCCCGTCTTCTGGACAAATACAGAGGCAAAACAAACTCGAGCAATTCTCTGCTCGTCGCTTAGCATGAGTTTCAGGCATGCTGTGTGGGTTTCAGGCATGATGTGTGGCATCGGAATACCCCCGAGAGAAGGTAGTCATACAGAGTAGATTTAGGTATACCGAGGCGGTCAGCTAACGTACATATGTTGGTTCTGTCTTCAAGCGGGGTAAGTGCGATGGCGTGGTTGAGGTCGAGGCTGAACTCCTCCGTGAGCCTTGACTTGTGGCTGCTTCTCTCCTTTCAGCCGCTGTCCTAGTTGATAGGTTTGCCTTCGCGAACATCCTGGGCCACTCGCTGCCATAGCCGCGCGACCTGGCGCGCACTACAGCCAAAACGGACTGCACAGGCAACATCTCTGCTTTTGGCATCTATAAATTCACGCTCGAGCGCAAAAGATCTGCCACGACTTTAGCACGCTCCTCTGACGTGAGGTTCTTCCTTTTACAGCGCGCGCCGTCGGCGTAGGGGCTCATCTGGGCTTGTTGTGAAGGAAAAAAGCAAAAATGAGGAATGACGCCGTATTTGGACGACCATAGCTCGTCAACTACTCATTTTAAATGATCGCAAAACCAATAGAAGAGTGACTGATGATCTTATTTTGCTCCGCTGTGCAAACTTAGTGACGCCATGGGAGGCTGCCGTGGGCACAGCAAATGAAATCATAAAGGCCTTTGAGATTTTAGCAGAAAATGCCGCGCTGCTGACAGTTTTTTTATAGAAGGACGGGCCGGCCCTGCGTACTCGCTTTGATCGGCTAGTGCGTATGTTCCGCGAGGCACAGTGAGCTTGCGGGCCTCTGGCACCACTGAAGAAAACCAAGAACGCGACGTACTGCTACAAGACATCGTAAGCCGTATGGACAATTGGAAGGAGCTGGCTGATGAAGAAAAAGCCAAGGAAAGAGCGAGGAACCAATACATTGAGACGTCGGGAGAGCTGATGCGGAGGCTGACTACCGGCGAGATGGACCAGATGGACGACGATGAGGAGGATGAAAAGGGAGATAATGGCGGCGTCAGCGCTGCTGTGGGCGGAGATTCGACCACGCAGCAAAGTGACGACAGTGTTTGTCGCCGCTGCTCAGGAGAAGCTGCTGTATCCGGCCGGAAGAGAGCAGCGACGTCTGGAGCTCGTCGTGTCCAGAAAGGCAGCAAGCGTGAGAAGCCAGGCACCGTCGCTGCGAATAGCGACAGTCTTCTTGCAGATACGGCTGTAGGCAGCAGTTGACCGCCCAAACTCATTGGCTTCAGTGAAAAACTTGGATGGCTCGGAAAGCCTGCGGCAGACCATTGCGAGAGTCTCAACGCTGGGGAGAGTGTCACCGGCCGGTGTAAGTTGTAGTGACTAGGGTAGCCGTAGCTTGATAGACAAACACTGAAGCTCACGAATAGTGAAGTCGTAGCGAATACAGGCTGTAGCGCCATCCATGTCTAGGTCGAAGTGGTTGTCGAAATTGATACGAGGACTACGCTCGAGAGGACGAAAGAAATGGTTCTCTATGAGAGCGGACATTATGGCCAGGAATCACCTCCTCTTACCTCTAGCTGCCCAGGCGCTGCCTATGATAATGGAAGCTTCGTCGGCCATCAGTTTGGGCGCCAAGAACACCATCTTGGTCGGCGCTGTGCCTCTGGCGCTCCACTCAAACTGCAAAGGGGGTTGAGCTAGAAGCCCTTTTTGCTCTACCTTAACCGACGATAGAGTTGAGTTTCAGCCCTTCCGCGATTACGGTACTATCATTAGCTGAAACAAAAACTCAAATCACTGATTTTTTATCTTCGAAAGTTTTCTAATGCTCACTTTCTGGCACACATGATTATATGTATCATTGAATACTAAAACGAAATTAGCACACGTAGAAAAAAATATTTATACACATGAAAAAGATGCTTTATTAAAACAAGACTCAATACTGTATGCGGTAGACTCCAAATTGTCTAGATAAAGACAGCCACCTTTTTGAGCTTTAACCGCCTCCAGTGCGACCCTAACCTGTCCTAAAAGATGAAAAGACCTGCCGTGAGTTAGTAGAGAGCTGTAGTTTGTGAAGTTATCTGAGATTATGGAGCTAATCGAGGGCTACGAAGCGTTGCTCCAAAAATAGACTCCTTGGAGCTCGAGTGACCTCATAACTCCACTGGGGTATATGGGGCATCTTAAAATAGCCTCACAGAAATCTATTTTTGGCTAATCCGGATTTTTGCTGAAATATTCCTTACTTCAACTCCAGAACTACAGTACAGCTCTCTAATGTCATCAGTTAGTTCCGATTTTTTGCAATTTCCGCAAAGTTTAAATACCTATATATTTATAAATAAACATATATATGGCTTAGAGGACAGCGTAATTTTGACCATCCCCACATGTATTTCTTCGGGTGCGGGATGTAGCTCGTATGAGTGCATGTCATGCATGACCATCATTGTGTTCGGAGCTACAAGCGGCATCGTCTTCCGATATGAAATGAATGATTGCAACCTATTGAAGAAGTTATACGTGTGAAAAGGTGCTTTAAAACATTTTCACTGAAGAAGAAAATACTTTGGATTAATATCCTGAGAGCAAGATTCACGATTGACCCAGCTAAAATAAAAGAAGCTTCACCGCAGCAAACAGAAAGACATTTCGCAGCTCATAGACCTGAGCTACACATCTGTGCGAGTTGGCTGCGCCACTTGTGTGGCCTTATAAACTTGGTGCCCTCCCCCAATATTTCACATTTTTTGTGGGCACGATGTGGTCCACAAATTTAATCATGACTTCCGCTCACTGGCAGAGTTCATGTGGTTGGCCACGATCCGGAATTCAGTTCGATCCGCGTCTCCTCGCTTCACGTCGCTACGCAGCATCACAATGTCTTCTCAATCTGAGATCAAGTGGGTTGGCGCTCGCCCTGACGACTTGCACCACCATTTGCGTGACGGCGACGCCGCTCTTAGCCGCACTGTGTCGCACGTTACATCCCAGTTCGCGCGGTGCATCGTGATGCCCAACTTGGTGCCGCCCGTGACGACCACGGAGCAAGCGTTAGCGTACCGTGAACGCATCATGACTCACATCCCCGAAGAGAAGCGCGACCCTAACAGTCCCAGCGGCTTCGAGCCTTTGATGACGCTCTACATGACGGATAGCACAACTGCTGACGAGATCCGTCGCGCCGCCGAAACCAAGAAAATTTTCGCTGTTAAGCTGTATCCCGGTACGTACAGACGCATACGAATGCAATGCTAGCTTACTGACGGTAACTGTACAATCATAGCTGGAGCGACGACCAATTCGGACTCCGGAGTGACCAAGATCGACAACATCTACCCAGCTCTTGAAGCCATGGCCGACGTCGGGATGCCGCTACTAGTACACGGCGAAGTAACCGATCCATCAGTCGATCTCTTCGACCGTGAAGCCACGTTCGTGGAGCAAGTGATCAAGCCTCTGGTGGCGAAGTTCCCGCAACTTAAGGTGGTGATGGAACACATTACCACCAAAGAAGCAGCCGAGTTCGTCACTAACGCACCAGCTAATGTTGCTGCAACCATCACCCCGCAACATTTGCTGTTCAACCGCAACGCAATCTTCCAAGGTGGCCTTCGCCCACACAAATACTGTCTTCCAGTACTTAAGCGAGAGACGCATCGCCAAGCTCTGCTCCAAGCGATTGCAAGTGGTAGCAAGAAGTTCTTCCTCGGTACAGACAGCGCTCCCCACGTGTCTTCCAAGAAGGAATCGGGTTGTGGATGTGCCGGAATCTACTCGGCACACGCTGCTCTTGAACTGTATGCTGAAGCCTTCGAGTCGATCGGTAAACTCGATCTCTTCCGCGCCTTCGCGTGCGAGAACGGAGCCGATTTCTACGGTATTAAACGCAATACTGTAGGCGACACTGTCTTGAAGAAGGAAAGCTGGACGGTGCCGGACAGCTATCCGTTCGACAACGGCGTCGTGGTCCCTCTCAGGGCCGGAGAGACCATCGCGTGGAAGCTTCAGTAGGTTTTAGGAAGCAGACGCTGTTAACGTAGGTCCAAGCTGGCGCGTTTCTCTCGCGGTTTCATGTCGAATACTGACGTCAGAATGCGACATGTGGGTTCACTTGAAGACGTTGAAGTGGGTGGAGAACTGTGTGCATTTGCGTCTCCTTTCTTCTTGCCTGTAGTCATGACACTTCCTCGTACAATGAGAGCAGTTACGAAGCTCAAAAAGTCCGAGAAGTCGCGGAACACTTGACTCACGCGGTAGCATGACTTGCCCACGTTGTTAGCAGGTTGTAAAGGGTCTTCAATAACCAATAGCCCGTCCCGTGACAGGGGCGGAACGAGCACAAGTGGCGAATTCGAACGAGAACGAGTCACGGGAGAAGAACGAGTCACAGGAGACAACGCTGGCGACATCGCTCTTGGCAGTGAAATACCGGTATCTACCGATAACAACGTCGGTTCTCCCCACGACACCACCGACACTTGATCCAGATTTTGGCGGAAATCGTTGCCGTAAAACTGCAAGAAATTCATCAGTAGTTTCCCTAAAAGAAAAGGTTTGGTCTCCTGGTGCTCGTCTTGTGAGCCAGTGACAAGCGACGGGAGAATGACTCGTTTGGCTTTCTTCTTGTGTGTCTTCATCTCATTCTTCTTCGGTTGTTGCATTGAAGAACATTGCTTGACGATCTCCTTCGCTATCAACTCTCCTTTAAGACACTGAGCTTCATATCGCGGATGCCAACGCGTACTAACAACAGGCTTTAGCTCCTCCAAGTCATCGTCTGTGTCATGTGCAAGCTTCTGTCCATCGATCATGAAGATCAACGCTCCTTGTTCTCGTAACACATAGACAACCATCAGTAACAAACCGTACGACGACAAACCGCCAACGTACGGGTCATTAAGACCACGTTCCACTAGGAAATGTTTCAGTACAAGCGTCAGTTCTCTCAAGCCGTAGAACGCACTGGCTAGTCCTTGTACCAACGTCACACTCGCCACCCCATTATGATGAATACCGTGTGGCTCATCGAACGTAATGTCAAACGGGATACGAAGCTCCACGCCGTCGATTGTCACTAACACCACGACTTTTAACAACGGAATTGACGCGCGTGTAATTGCGCTCACGTCGACATACGCAGCTAGTTCTCGAACATGGTCAGCGAGTGCTTCTACGCACTGTTGACTGGTGAAATTGAACTCCTCGGTGGCTCCAAAGACCACGAGATCTACGTCACTTGACTCGCCATGTAACCTCGTCGCAAACGACCCGTAACCTTCCACTTGTACGCAATGATTCCATAGTAAATCGATCTCTTCTGTCACCATAGCAATCGCTTGCTGCATCCACGGACGTTTGTCGCGTGCTTCTCGTCGGTGGTGGTTGTAAAAGTCCACAATCTCGTCATGTAAGACCACCTGCATCATCGCTGTCTGCTCTTCGTACAGTCGCTGTAAATTACCAAACGATAAGCCTGTCCGGTTAGCTCCCTCGGCTCGTTCTTCATCCATCCGACGCTCCCGTTCTTTCTCGGTGGCTTGAATGACACTTCTTCTCCACTCTAAGCGCTCTTCCCGCTCTTTCTCTCTCGACATGCCATTTACAGGACAGTTCGCGAGATGATCCGCTAGATTCTCACGTGAACAGATCTCTTTGCAGCCCAGTACGGCGTTCGGACACACCACGTCGTAGGAATAAAAGTCCGTCGTGGTGTCGTCCACCACTTGGTCCAAAGTATCCGGTACTTGACGGTATACACAGCGCTCTAGATGTGACTCCAAGTCCTTCAACATACAGCTAAATGTACATCCGAACCAGCTGTTAGGACACACGACTTCGTAGTCTTCCGAGAACCTCGAGATGGTCGATTGGAACCATTGCGTGTTCTTCATATTGTCCAGAAACATCTCTCGCATCATGGCTTCTTGTTCTTTCTCGATCGTAGCGATAGCCCATTGCCTTCTCCGCTGGATCTCCTGTTCTTCTTCACTTTGAAGCTGTTTTAAGACGTTCAAACGTCGTGCTCGTTCTTTTTCCGCCGCTTCGATGACCCACTGAGTCCAATACGCTCGTTCAGCGGCCTGTTGTTCTTGTTCTCCGCGTATGACGGCTCGTTCTTCAGGAGTGAGTTCGGGATGTCGGAACAGTCTCGAAGTGGCTATACGAGGGGTCAATTTTGAGTCTGGTGTCGACGTTCTAATTGGACTGAAGAACATTTCGGTCTCTGCATCGAGAACGGGAGCCAATGGAGGCGACACGAGACTGTGGATGTGTGCACTGAGCGGCGTGAAGGGTGCAGCAGCAGCGCAAAGGCCTGTGGTCTCCGGAGTGTCATCGAGGGTTGATGTTGTCACTTTTGCAGGCCGTTCGGGCGTTGTAGGCGCGTTTGGAGCGCGAGAACCGGGTTTCTTCTTGGGTCGACGCTTACGAGGGCCCAAGTGGTTCTTTCGCGGCTTGTCCTCATCTGTGACGTGCGCTGCGGCGTCCGCCATAGCTCCGTGACTCATAAGTCCGTCCAGGTTGCCGTCTAATCGTGTAGAAATCATGAAACTTCGAAAAATACTAAGACTAACGTAATAAGGGCAAGAATGTGGTGTGGTGTACACGACAACCATGTTTCTTACATCAGAAAACCAATATCTCCGAGCCATGAAGGTCGACATCGATGGGTTGGAGGTGGTCTTCCCGTACGAGCGCATGTACTCGGAGCAGCTGCAGTACATGCGCGAGCTGAAGCGTGCTCTGGATGCACAGGGTCACTGTATGCTGGAGATGCCCACGGGTACAGGCAAGACGGTGTCTCTGCTGTCCTTAGTCTTAGCGTACAAGGCCGCCCATCCTACTGCAGGAAAGCTCGTTTACTGCACCCGCACCGTCCCAGAGATGGCCAAATGTGTGGAGGAGATCAAGAAGCTCATCAAATATCGAGAACACTACTACGGGGACAAGGCGCAAGTCACAGCGGTGTGTCTAAGCTCCAGGCGCAATATGTGCGTCCACCCACGTGTCATGGCGCATGCTGACGGTGAAGACGTGGACGGCCAATGCCGGAAAATGACAGCGTCGTGGGTCAGAGCCAGAGCTGCGAAGTCTCGCGAAGCTACAGCTGACGGAGACGTCTCTATGTCGGAGGAACCAGCGCGAGAGGTCGAAACGTGCTCGTTCTACGAGAACTACGACGCCAGGAAGAGCAACGACACCGTTCTACCACCTGGGGTCTACTCTGTAGACGACTTAAAGGAGCTGGGCGTCAAGAAAGGGTGGTGTCCTTATTTCCTAACGAGATATGTCGTCACCTTTGCCGATGTGGTAGTATACAACTACCAATACATGCTGGATCCGAAGGTCAGTCAACTGGTATCCAGGAGTTTCGAGAAGGAGAGTATCGTGGTGTTCGACGAGGCCCATAATATCGACAATGTGTGCATTGAAGCGCTAAGCGTCGACTTAGATCGACGTTCTCTAGATAGAGCATCCCGTAATTTGACGACGCTATCGGGTCAAGTGAACAAGTTGAAACAAGCCGACAAGTCCAGACTAGATGCAGAGTACCGACGTCTAGTGGAAGGATTACGGTCCAGTAACGCTGTCGTGGCTCCTAGTTACACGGATCCAGCCACGAACCAAGCTATCGACACTAGTAACGACATCATGATCGCCAACCCAGTTCTCCCCGACGACGTGTTGGATGAAGCCATCCCGGGCAACATTCGTCGTGCCGAGCACTTTGTGGCCTTTATGCGTCGACTTATCGAGTATCTGCGTCAACGTATCCGAGTGCGTCAAGTGGAATCCGAGACACCGCAAGCTTTCCTTCACCACTTGCATCAAGCTATCAATATGGAGATTAAACCCATGAAGTTCTGCTACACAAGACTCAATTCGTTGCTACGGACGCTGGAAGTAACGAATTTAGAGGAGTATAACTCGCTTACGGATGTCGCTGACTTCGCGACGCTAGTGGCGACATATGCCGAGGGATTCATGCTCATTATCGAGCCATTCGACAGCGCTTCAGGCGTACACGACCCGGTGTTACAGCTCTCGTGTTTAGACGCTTCGTTGGCGATTCGACCGGTGTTTGAACGCTTCTCCAGCGTCGTTATCACGTCGGGGACACTCTCTCCTATCGACTTGTACCCGAGGCTACTGAATTTTAACCCTGTGATCCGCGAATCGCTGCCCATGTCAGTGTATCGCTCGAGTATTTGTCCATTGGTGATCACTCGTGGCAGCGACCAGATGCCCGTGAGCACCAAGTTCGACTTACGTGACGATCTGTCCGTGGTCCGTAACTACGGCACGTTACTGTTAGAAATGGCGGCGTGTACTCCAGACGGTATGGTGTGTTTCTTCCCGTCGTATCTCTACATGGAGAAGATTATCGGCCAGTGGGACTCGCTCGGTGTGCTCAAGCGTGTACTGAGCAGTAAGCTTCTCTTTATTGAGACCAAGGACATCGTGGAGACGACGCTGGCGTTGGATAACTACAAGAAGGCCTGTGATTGCGGCAGAGGAGCCATCTTCTTCTCTGTTGCACGTGGTAAAGTGGCAGAAGGGATCGATTTCGACCGCCATTACGGACGTGCAGTGATTCTATTCGGGATCCCGTTCCAGTACACGCTATCCAATACGTTACGGGCTCGGTTAGAGTATCTGCGCTATACGCACCAGATCCGAGAAGGCGATTTCCTAACGTTTGACGCGCTACGTCAAGCTGCGCAATGTGCTGGCCGAGTGCTTCGTAGCAAGACCGATTACGGACTTGTTATCTTCGCTGACTCGCGTTACAACCGTGCGGATAAGCGCACGAAGTTGCCGCCTTGGATCTTGCAGTTCCTCGTGAACTCGCACCTCAACTTGTCGGTGGATATGGCGGTGTTTATGGCCAAGAAGTACCTGTCGTTGATGGCGCAGCCTGTGGACGAGTCCACGAGCGTCAACTCGATCCTGCTAGATGCCGATGGAGTTGCCAAGTGGCTTGGTAAACACCCTAAGGAAGACGAGAGCATGCAGTAAAAGCAAACATTTACAGATACTGTAAAATTCGTTTCTAACTCTCCGTTTCTAACTCTCAATAATTAGAGAGTCGAGTGATTTAGAAACTCTCCATGTTTATCGATTACAGAGCAAAAAAGGTGGCCTTAATCCCTAAAAAGCAATTGCTTAGAGACGGGGGGGCGTCAAGCACGATACCCTCGAACTTGGTCTGGAACCAGTTGATGGCGTCGTCCTTGGTCAGACGGTGCGGGTGGCCCACACGCGACTGCTGCATCTTACGGCGAGCCACACGGGCACCCGGGCGCTTGAGCACGACGAAGAAGTCCATACCGTAAATGCCCGTGGACGGGTCGTACTTAATACCCAAGTCAATGTGCTCCTGGATACCGAAACCGAAGTTGCCGGTCTCGGAGAAGTTCTTGCGCAGCAGCTCGTACTCCTTCACCTTCAGACCACGGTCCAGGATCTCCTGAGCGAGCTCACCACGGATGGTCACGTGGCACGAGATCTTTTCGTTACGACGGATACCGAAGGTACGGACCGTGTAGCGGGCTGTTAAAGTAAAAAAAACACAGTTACAGTTAGTGCATCGGTAAAACTCCCATCTCTAATCACCTTTTAGAGTAATCCACACGGCCACTAAAGTGGCTACACGCGCCTTTGCCGTCCGCTAAGACAGTCAAAGTACTGGACACCAACCTCCAAGATCATTGATGTGTGCGTGGTGTATGTGGCACAGGCCCGATGTACTCAAAGACGAGCGCGATCGGGGATGAACCAGAGCCTCATAGAGAGCGCTCCAGCACCCGGAAAGGCCGTAGATTGGGTTAGACACACCCGCACCGAAGGCAGGTGGCCCGGGTAAGTAGCCCGTTAAGGCGGTTCTTTGCTTTTCTTTTGGTCAAAAAAGCTTACCCTTGGAGTACACGGGCTTCTGGCCCGTGAGCTGCTCGAGCACACGAGCGGCACGAGTCAGCTTGTCACCAGACTCGCCGACGCAGCAGTTGATCACCAGCTTGTCGACGTGGATGTCGCGCATCGCGTTGTTGCTCTTGTCGCCGGCCTGAAGGTTGCGGACACCATTGGAGATTAGTATTGGGAAGAGTATTATGGGGCAATTACAGTCGGACGCACCATCTTAGCTTGTTGTTTTGAAGCTTTTGGAGAAGTACTGGGCGATTGAGGTGTCGACGTCGTTTGGACTGGTTGGCTGGAGCACCAACCAATACTCGACTTGTTCCGCATACTATATTTACTAAGCTGAGCAGCTTTTGCAAAGTAAATCAAGTCAATGCGCGAAATTTATGATGTGTATATGATGTAGTACAGACGCTGCACTAAATACGGCAACTATTTTTAGTTGAAGTTAAGCTTCGAGTGGTAATGGATCCGCGAGGGCCCCCGATATCGTCCGTGTTAACGCCGCGGTTCTCGATACTGTCGAGTCCTCGAGTAGGTCCCGTTTCCGCAACCACAGGAGCATTCATTGCTGTCTATCCAGACCCCATTCCAAGCACCAGTCCGACTATCACTGATATATCGATACCACGACACAGGCTTAAACACACCAGCAGTCAGTTGCGCCTGCAATTGCAATGGATTAGTGCATTCAAAATCCAGCTTCTCGTGGTTCGCAACGCCGTTATTTGCTGTTTCTGCGCTGTTGTGGCCAATGGCGCGTTCTATATTGGCAACATTTTCGCCTTTAAATCGTCGGTGGATCAATCGTTGAACGAGTTCACCATGGCTATGCTAATCTGGATGGCAATAACCTACGCTGTCATCATGCTGATCGCTCACCTACCTATATTGATGACCCAGAAATTCATCAAATATCCTACCAAAAGACCAAGTTTCTGGTTTTGCGCTAAGAAGTTGATGAAAAAGTCGCTCCTCGCCTTTGCTGCATGTCTTTCAGGCATGATCGCAGTTGGAAATATTTTTCAAAACACACGGCTGATGCGCGAATACTTCCCATTCCGACTACACTTTTATTTTGCGGTGGTAAACAACCTCACCTTCGCGGCTGGTCTCATGCACGCAGTGAAGCGAATATACTACGAAGAGACCTACCAAGGTCGAGATCGACGCTCAGTACTAAGTAAACACAACTCGACGACTCGACCGAACGCTTTTCGACCAAAACAATACCGTACACCCAGTTATTGGGCGCGAATATCTTAATCACGTACCTAATGCTTTTATCATCGTTATTGCCGGAGGATACGTCCCACATTGTCCTTGCTTTGGTGGCAACACGCAAAAGAACAGACATCAGTGATGTCTTTTACAGTCTTTGGCGTCGTTCTCAAGCTCATTCTTCAGAAGGCTGCAAGGGCTTTACGTTCTCAAGCTCATTCTTCAAGAAGCTGCAAGGCTTTACGTTCTCAAAAAGAAAATTCGCAGTACGCGACTCATGTGTTTTCTCGTGGGTATCCCGACCGTGTTGATTGATACTCAATCTCGCATTGTTCTACTTGGTACACAATACAACTCTTTTCTCGTCACAGGAACTTTTGCTCTGGCTATCGCTGAGGTTGGGTTTCGAGCTGCCAAAGCTGCTTTTGTTGTGTGGACAACTCGTCGTCGCTCAAGAGCTCTTGACGAAAAATTACATGAAATTTCACATTCACATCAAAATTCAGCAGAAAGGGTTTCTTCAAGTGCAACTTTAAAGTTGGAATTTGAATTTTGGAGAAAACAATACAGCAGAACTGACGGCTGATATGTATGCGGAATACATTGCTATTGGCTGTTCCCAGTCCATAGTTTTCTGGTGGCTTGGACATCCTTTGTATCCGGTGCTACGTCTCGAAGGAGCGCTTACTATGTCGGAGCTTGACGTCTCTAGGTTACGTTTCAATCAAGTGGCTATGCTCGGGTTTCAATGTTTCGTCGAAATTTTCGTCGACTATGTGTGTATCGTTATGGAGATGGCAGCCGGCATCGAGTTTGACCGCATCGAAGGCCTCAGTACGTTTCTAGGAGCGCTGTTCATGACAATGGCTGTCATCAATATCAACATCTCGAGTGGCGTTTATCTAGGTTAGATAGAGTTTAAAAATATATCATTATCTTAAATAAGTTCTAAAAATGGTCCATCCTGCTATTTCGAGTAGATGCACGGTCAAAATGACGTCCCTGGTCCTGAAACTCGCGAGCTCCCGTATCGCCCCAACTCGTCCGTCATTCTCTTCATCGGTCACTCCACTGCGTCCCTCCTTCACATCTTCCGTCGCTCCGGGCCAACCCATTCGAGATGCGATTATCTCTAAATCGGCGATTGCGTTGCTTCCTCAAGCTGAGCACACCCAGCTACATCGCTATAGCATTCATTTACGTCTCCAACTACAATGGCGACCAGCAGCCAAGCTGCAATTACTGATGTTTCGCAACACAATCGGGTGTGTCATTGCTGCAGTATTGGCCAATGGCTGCTTCTATTCGGGTAATATTTTCTCGCTCAAGCTTTCCAAGAACCAATCTCAGCAAGAATTTCTCATGGCTACATTGGTTTGGACCGCTATAGTACACGCTATCAAGATGACGGCAGCCTATTTGCCTTCCATGATGACGCAGCGCTTCCGTAGGCGTCCAGATTACAAACCCAGTCTCTATTTTTGTTTGAAGAAGATCGTCAAGGGTACATATCCGTACTTTGTTGTTTCATTAAGTGGCATGGTCGGTACTGGTCTCCTCATCCAACATACGTCTCTAATGAAGCATCTTCTCCGGTATAAACTTCACTTTTACATCGGCATCTTGTTCAATATGATATCCACCTCAGGAATCGCGATCGTATCCAATGTGGAAAGACCAATCAACTCCAAGGTCGACGAAATGCGTTACGTGAAATTTCGGGCTCCACTATGGAATTGTCAGCTATCTCCCCAGCACAAAAAAGACACAGGTCTTCAAAATATCGTACGGGCTTCTGGCGCGAATACATCGCACACTTCCCCATTGCGATCCTAATGTCAATAGGCGGTGCGTTTGTTCACGTTGTGTCTTGGTATGGTATACTGAATCAAGGAAAATTTGTGATTTTGAGCTTTACAATGTTTGGGATTACAATGAAACTCGCGATTCAAGAAGCTGCAAGAAATTATATCGTTAAGAAAAAAATCCGAGGGGTCCGTACGATGTGTCTTCTAGTGGGGCTGCCGACTGTTTTAATTGATACTCAGTCACGCATCGTATTATTAGGCACCCAAACCGACTCATTTCTTGTAGCGGGGACGTGTGCGATGGCCGTCGCTGAGTTGTGTCTTCGTGCTGGGAAAGCTACGTATGTTGCGCGCTCTATTCGACGTCGAGCAACTGATGTTGAAGCGGAAATACTGGAGCTATCAGCTAGTAGTAAGCAATCTGAAAGGCGTTCTGTGTCGTCCTTGAAACTCGAGTTCGACCTGTGGAAACGACAGATTGTATCTTACCATACGGCGGAATTGACTGCTGATATGTATGCCGAGTATATCGCGATCGGCTGCTCCCAATCGATCATTTTCTGGTGGTCTGGCCACCCGTTTTACCCGGCATTGCAGCTGGGCACAGGCGGTGTGATGAGTCCGGGAGATGTCGCCAAGTGGGGGCTCAATCAAGTGGCTATGCTTGGATTCCAGTTCGTGGTAGAAATCTTCGTCGACTACGTGTGCGTTGTGGTGGAAATGGCATCGGGGATCGATTTCACGCGGATCGAAAGTCGCAGCACCTTTTTAGGAGTTGTGTTCATGATGATGGCTGTGCTCAACATTAACATATCGAGCCTCGTGTACTTGTCTTTTCACAGTCAGTAAGGTACATTTACTGTTAATAAACATTCCTGAAGAAATTCTGTAAAAAAAATCCTAATGAAGTAAAGCTTAGCTAAAACCCGGTATCTCCCGACGGGACGGACGACGTCTTTCGATCGAAACCCTAGGTCTGAAGGTATTGGACAAAGTAGCTGCGAAATACTTGAGGTATTTAATTTTGTATCTCTATAGATAAATCCTATAGTAAAATACCTCTAGCAACCAATTCTTTTCGCCAACTCACCAGTCTCTGATCGACAGCGAGCACTCGCAGCCCCCCCCCGTAGAGATTGTTTCGAAGCGTCTAAATGGACGAGTACACGCGTGATAATATTGCGAATTCTCAAGAAATTCATCAAGTGGTGACAGACATTATCACAGACCACGCCGCTGCGCGCCCTTCCAACACCGTTAAGCAGTACGCTCCAAAACAAGCCGAGTTTAAAACGTGGTGTGCAGGTAAAAAGTACTTGGATGGCTGTATTGTCACTGAAGAGAAACTAGTTACGTTTTTGAAGACGCACGTCCTCGTGGTAACAAGCGCCCAGAAAACCAAAGCTGGTGATGCTAAAGCTCTCAGTTTAGCTGGCGTTGAAGCTTATGCCAAAGCTGTGATAGGTCTGTACAAGTTGCAGCAGGCTCTACTTCTAAATAGCCATCCACATCCACGTGGGAAGACCTATCACGATCTTTTCGACACGCTGAAGCGGTCGGAAACTATGCGCAAGCGAAAAAACTACGCAGATCGAGCGCTGGGTACCGTTCTTGATGGATATAATGTCGAAGACATGGTTCAACTCACTGACTATTGGTTGTCTCAAAACGACGGTGTTTCTTTGCGTGATCGTGTGGATTTCTTTTTGGGGCATGCACTTCTTGCACGGGGCGAGAGTCGCCGCTTTATTGAATTCCCTGATACGTTGACACTGGAGCTACCGGATGAAGGCTCGCAAACATGCACGCCACTTGTGATCATCATGAATCGAGGCAAAACTAATCAGCATGGCCGCATCGAGTACGGGGCAGCCATGCGATGTAAGAACGTAAATGTGTGCCCATTGAATGCTGTAGCGCTCGTATATTACACACTTATTCTCAATCGGGTGGCGCTCATTAAATTTTACATCGCTAGTAAGACGTTGAGCTTTTAGATTTCAGATGTGTGGGCGGAATTCTTAGTCTGTGAAAGGCAATAATAATAATATTGTAAGGGTTACAGACAGCGACGGTGAAATCCGCCCGGTGTCTGAACACTATCCTTCATATAAAATAAAAAAATTACGCGCGACAAGAATACCCGCCCAGTTATTTGATTGGTTGAAAGTGGCAGTTTCAGCTTAAAGTCTGAACACAAAGTACAAAAACGATTCCAAAATGTACAGAACCGATGCAGGGATCAACACATCCTGGGTTGATTGTACAAAAACGCCCAAATACGGCATACGGATTGGCTGAAACTGGTTTCATTAGTGGGAAAACCATGTTTGGACTCGGGCGTGTTTCAAAGGTATGGCGGATTTCACCGTCGTTGTCTGTAACCCTTGCGGCAAGTAAAAGGGTTAGCCGATATTTAGGTTTTGTTTAACGCTATAGTTTTTTTTAGGAAGGGTCGATCCTTCAAAAATGCTAAGAAAAAAAAACTTGATATGCCCAATTTCTACGAGGGGAGAGTTTGGACGAGCTAAGCTCAACATATACCAATACCCACATGTTTGAGGAAGCCCGAGTGGGTGTTACGTACAGAAGTGGGTGGGTTAGAATACCAGGTTTGTTATTAAGCGGCAACGTTATATACTGATAGTGCCTGACGATTCAAATTAAGATTGTTTTGATTAAGTGGGGTGGTTAAAAGCACTTCCGAGCAGTTAAATAGGAGATTAGGGTAAATTAGTGTCAAATCTGCTTTTTTACAGCTGTGGTTGCCCACCCCGGCTGTTTTGAGCAAAACTCGGCTCGCAGACATACTACACGATTGTGATCAATTTGGTGGTTGTCCCGAGTTGTACTACCTGAGGGGGCCGTTTTCGTATGGAACACAACATCGAACACACTTAAGTTATTTCCTTCATTTACCAAAAAAGCTCTCTCGCTTACTCCCAGACACATTGAGACGCTGGATGAGAAGTACCAGGGATGGCTGTTGACAAAATATAACCATCCCGAGGCTACGGTTGTCATGATGGACTTCCTTGAGAGTACGCTGAGAAACCCGCCATATCGGTGGCGGGGGTATTTCTCAAGAGGAGGCGAAGGCTCAGCGCTTGCGCTACCAGCACTGAACTAGGGCTCGGTCCGTTCTGCTGCGTCTATTCAGCCAAGCTTTGCCTAACGTTTTTCTGAGTGGGTTGCCGGATCAAGTGTCCAGGAGGAATCCTTATGACATATGGAAGAAACTCGAACAAAAGTACGGGATCGGGTAGGCGGGAGGCGTAATCGAGCTACGTCGCCAGTGGGAGCGTCTCCTTGCAGCGAACTTGATCAATCTGGAGCTTTATTCGCCCAGCTAAAGAAGCTGCGTAACGACATCAGCATGAAGAGGAGGGGTCTGGTTGGCAAGGACATGGTGACCGCTTGGGGCGCCTTAAAGTGGCTGCGATCAAACTCATGATCGATAGCGGAACGATGATGGGTAAAGGCATCGCAGCGGCGCTGTTAAAGAAGAAATTATTGTGCTGATGCTGTATGTCTGCAAAGTAGAAGCGAATGTTCTACAAAGTGAGCTTGCCGAAAAACGAATTAACTACGAAAAATTAACTACGAGCGGCGCATGTCAAACACATATCATATGGGCAGGTTTCTCTTTGGTCTGAAGGAAGTAGGCTTCTTTCAGCTAATACAAGACGCTACAAATGGCTTCCCATTAAAACGAGAGAAACAACGTCAATGCGAATACGATCAAATTCATCACGGAGTTATTGGCTGCTGGGCATAGTAAAACACGCTTTACTAGCGACTGAGGAGAAAATACGTGAATGCAAAACTATGTTCGTGAATAACATTGAGACTCAATTTATACCAACGCATCTATTCACCCCGGAGAAGAGCGCACGCGTTGAGAAATAAAACGGGGTCTGGTAAATAAGATGCGTGCAGCAATGGACGCAGCAACCCTTCCAAACCAGCTGTGACCTGAAGCTCTTCAGTATATTGTCGACATCGATAACATGAGCGCAACTAGGGCGAGAAACGGCAAAACCCAGTCGGAAAAGTTATTTGGTAAGGTGCCAGACGTGGGAAAGATACGTGTGTGTGGATCAGTTGGATTTGTGCACGTGGCGAAACAAAAGCCCTAGTTATCAAGGCAGAACTTGCTTTGTTATTAGGTTTTGTTCGCTTGACCGCAGGATATCGCTTGCGTCATTTACGGACTAAAACATTGTCGAAGCTCGCGATGTGAAATTCCGTGAGGATATCGCAGTGAGCAGAATGTTTTTTTCTGCGCTGTTAGTGATGCCGCTCCATTTGTACCTTTGCCGGTTGAGTATATGGCAGAAGATAGCGTGCGAACTAGGGCAGCACCGAGTGTGAGTGATTCATTAGCTGAGCATCGAAATGATTTGGCTTGGACTGGAATCTCATGAAATTCATGGGGAGCAGTAGTGAGGAATTCGACACCAGTGATTTAGAAACAAATATTAATGCAAGTCCTGTGGATAGGAATGCACGATTACGTGGAGGAGAGACGACTGGTGAAAGTGCTATGGCCAGAACACTTACGCCTCATCGTGGACGACAATCTCGCATACAGCGAATGCATAACGCTGTTCTGGTTGGAAGATCAGCTAGAGCACGACAGCTCAATGTGAGGCTGAATGGCTATCAGCGGATGTTGGAAGAGCTGCTTATCGGAGCACCGGAACCTATTGAAGAGGCTCCTTGTCTCCACAAAGAGCGGAATGGGACGCAACAATCAAAGCCTAGTATGAGTTGCTGCTACGAAATGGAACATGGAAGTTAGTCGACCGACCGAGTGTCTCCAATGGGAAGAAAGTCAATACTGACATACTGTGTATTGAACGGGCACATTTTACGGTATAAAGCGAGGTTAGTCATCCATGGTATTAAGCAGCGATTTGGTGTTGAGTACTGGAAAACGTACTCGCTGGTAATACGTTTCATCACCATGCTTTTAATGTTCCTGATTGCGCGCTGGTTGGAGCTGGAAGCATGGCATTGATGTGGACGGTATTTCTCAACAGCAAGTTAAAAGGTGTAGTGATCTCACGGAGCAACCGGTGTAGACTTATGACGGTAAAGGGCGGGCTTACCTACTCCAGAAAGGCATATATGGCCTTACGCATGCGGCAAGGATCTGGTATATGACCTTACATGCTTGTTTGGTAGAGATTGGATTTTGTCGATGTGCATTCGATGTGGGTCTCTATGGGAAGTATGTAGACGGAAATATTATCATGGTGACCGTCTACGTTGACGAAATGATGATCGTTGGCAAGACCAAGGATATTGACCGTGTAGTTTCAGAATTGCGGTTAAAGTTTGTACTGAAATATCTTGGACGCGTCAAGCACTTGCTCTCGATGGAGATCTGAACCAGGAGCAATGCTGAGCTTGTATCAATCAACATACATACATACATCAGCTCTTGGGTCATTTCCAGATGGCAAGTGTTCACAAAGCTAGATCTCCGCAAATACATATCAAAAAGATGGTGCCTCTGGAAAGGGACGAGGGCAAAATCAACGACGCCTCGTTACCGTATCGAGAATTTGTTGGTAAATTGCAGTACTTAGTGAGCTGTATTATTCGGAAAAAGCGAATGCTAATCGCTATCTCGGCCGTCATGCCGGCTCGTATACAAATGAGAACTATTTTGATCCCAAACGGGTGCTGCAGTATCTACGCGGAACAAGAGCACATGGACTGGTTTATCACAAATCAGAGGCACCATTAGGCACCCAATTGGAGATTTGCGCGTACAGTGACTAGGATCACGCAAATTGTCTGGAAACTAGCAGATCAATTTCAGGACATGTTCTCCAGTT